ATAAATACCAGAATGAGAAATGTGTCTGTGCAACAGAACCAGGAGGTGGATCTCAAAAAGTGAGGGATGTCTGGATTCAGCCTTTGTCTTCTGCATGCGTCATTTCTCTTCATGTGAAGGTGCAGTGCCAAATCCCTTTGTTATATTCATCCTCATATTAACGGATGGCGACTCTACAAACCCGGAGGCAGCTATATGTTGGATGGCCAAATAATGCCTCAAAAGTTGTGTCTGCCACCCATGGTAGGCTTATCGTCTCTCAGGATTGCCCCGGAATGAAGTCGGCAGTTTATGCACGCTGCTGATCCGCCATGCAGCAGGGACCTCAACCCACCGAATCACTCTCCTCTTCCCGTGGCCTGGTGGTATAGAGAAGCGCTGGAGATGCTCAGCGCTTCCCGTCAGCCTTTTCAATGCAGAGTTTAGGAAACCATCCTCCAAACTAATAGCAAAGGAAAACAAACACATGGACTGACCCCAAAGTCCATTGCTTTTCTTTCTTTCTTTTTCCCTTGTGTGAAAACCAGTTCACGGCAGCCGTGTAACTGCTCCTGCTCTAAGAAAGCTGCAGTTGGTCCCTAAGAATGTGCTGAACCTGATGTCAAGGAGGTGACACACGTTTAAAATTAATTGCCTGTTTTCCAGACTGCAGCTGTAATGAGGCAGGCCCAGGAGCTTACTTGGAAAGGGAGATCCTCTGAGCCGCCTGTGTGTTGGGAAATGCGTTTAGAACAATAGCTGCTCTATTCTTTAATGTCAGGCTCGGTCTCGCTCCCTCTGAAAGCTATAAGAATGGGACTCAATCTTTTCAGCTTGTCTGTGGCATAGACATGCCAGCTTAGTCTATTTATAGCCCTGAACCATTTAATTTCTCTTGCCTCTATTACCCATTTATCAGCCTTCAGATAGGATGCAGTGTAGTTACTAACGAACGCTTTCTGTAGCCTGGCCATCAGCGAGCCTTCTCAGAGCAGTGCAGCCCGTCTCCTCTGGGAAACGGCAATCTCTAGGTCAGAGAGGAGGACTCCAGACTGTAACTGCAACATTATAATGTCTTGCAATTAGTGCCTATTCAGATGCATCGCAGCTCTCTTTCATTATTAAATGTTATTTCTCTTATTAGTTCAGGCTTTTCAAATTTTCTCTCCAGCTGATTAAATATTAAGGCTCGAGCACCAAAAAGGCCACTCTCTATTCCTCACATCCCTGAAAGTGAAAATAATTATTGTCAAAGTTTGGAACTTGAGTCTGTTCTGAAACAAACCAAATGAAATTCACTACTAAATAAATTTAATATCAAACTGATGCACATGCACACAAGTCACTTGATACTCATTAGATACAAGAAGACTATTGAAATGTCAGCTATGTTTTCTTTCTAAAGGCCAAAAATTTCTTTTGCGTGCAATAGGTCAGAAGCATTTTTCAGGAGAGTGCCAAACACTCCCAGGAGCATTGACTACAGGGATCGACCAGCTTTCACATTTATTTTAATTCTTGCAACTCAGAGTAGGTTAATAATGAATTTCTAATAAAATTCCACATGAAAACAAGCTACAAATACATCGCTGGCATACAAGGACATGAACTTTCTCACGGAGAACGTTAATCATTTAGCTATTTTGTATAATTATTTTGAAGCCAAAACAATTCGTGATGCTCTTGACCAAGAGAACTTCTGGTATTAAAACCATCTACAAATGACACTTTCCTTTGCTAAGAAAACCTCACAGACACCATTTTAATGCTAGCAGGATCTGAGGTCTCTCAGAGTAAAAGGTCTTGCTCTCATATAGTGAGAGTAAAGAAGAGGAAGAAGAAACCTGCTATACAAAACCTGAGCCACCACGTAAAGCTCTGCACTAAGGATGCTGCGTGCTGTTTGCATCCAGCGGTGGATCCAGTGCTGCAGGCAGTGCTGGGACAGGTCACCCCAAGCACTGGCAGCAGGACCCGGACATGCTTATTGTTTTATTTACTGTCGCGTTGCCCACAGAAGCCCTTTCTTTGGGGTAACGGTAGAATAGTATGCAGGGCTGCAGTTTAAGATGTTGCTAGTTTAAAATGTAAAAATCACTCATGGGTAGTTTTAAATGTAAATTAGTTTCTGACCCTGGTTACAGGGGGAAGGGAAAGAAGGAAGTTAAAGTCCCAGTGCCCACAGGCTTCCTGGCTATGAGACGGCCCCAAAGCTTGCTCACATTTTCCCAGTTATCATCAAAAACACAAACTGCAGCTCAACAAATGTCCCAGCTTTTCATTCTCCGTATTGCTTGTTCTTTGCACTAATGCCAGCCAACATCTGTTCCAGATGAGAACTCCAGAAATAATGAAAAGCAAACTGAATGTAAGAACAAAATAAATAATGCAAGGAGCACTGATCAGACTCTCAATCCATGTACTCAATTCAGTAGTAAGCTCAACATTTAGAGTACGGTTACGTGCTAAAATGAGGATGTCCTATTTTCTTTCCACCTTCCCCTTTCCCCTCTCCTTTGCACTCCTCTGGCTCTTGGGGAGCTGACTCAAGTTACTAACCCAGTAGAAACCTCACCCAGGAAAAAAATAAAAAAAGGAAGAGGTTTCTGCTGTGTTACTGAGCTAAAATAGGCCCACCATATGGTCAGCTGAAGGGAGGGGGGTGACTGCATGGCCAGGAGCAGCAGCAGCCATGCAAAGAAAAGGAGGACTGGCAGAAAACCTTATTCTCGTCATCGGGTTAATTTTCTTCATATTTATGTTTCAACTCAGGGTCAGGCAAAGCCCAGAGCTGATGTGGGAGAGAGGGATAGGTGGACACCACGTGACTGGTGGTGGGGAGGGAGAGTAGGGATGTGGCAACTGGTAATTAGTTTGGCCTAAGCTGTCTTGGAAATCCAAGTTTAGCAACTTGGCAGTGCCCAGAGAGCTCTTCTCGCCAGAGAGCACAGTCTCAGGAGGGGACTAGAGAGTCGGGTGGCAGAATCCAGGTTGCCCTGGCTGCAAGACAAACAGCAGCACCTTCTGGCACACGGAACAAAAGGGTAGTGGTTTGGTTTGGAAATTAATAGTTACTTAATAGAAAAACAGCGAATAAATATTCTCGAAGGCTTGTGATGAATATGAATTTTGTATTTCTATAAATCATGCAGCATTTCTCTTTTGTTGGTGAATTGGCACTTCCCAAACAGGTAAATCAGGCAGCGACCTTGCTGAAACATAAAAGGCAAAAACTTTCAAGAGTGGCTGTTTCAAGTCAGGGATGAAAGGCCACACTTAAGTGCCTAAATGGGTGTGTAGTTTTCAGAAGTGCTCAACACCAGCAGTTATCATCAATGGAAGCTGCTCTGAGCCTTGAGCCTCTGAAAATAGGGCATTGGGTAGGTGCTGGGACACAGGACTTAACATACATTTTTAAGCACTTGGTCTAGATATTGAGCTCAGTATTTGATTGAATGAAAGAGCTTAGAAAGCAGGAATAAGCTCCGTTAGCCTGTTACAAAAGAACTGATACATTTATTTATTAAATGATTAATTGAAAATATTTAATGAAATCATTTTAAGGAACAAGCAGAACCATTGTTAACTTCACCACTCTGTTGACCTTCTCAAGCACTCAAAGCTGAATTACCTTAACAAATGTTGCGATGGAAGGTTCCTATTAGAAGTTTGATGTTGCAAGGGGAAGCCGTGATTTCCATTCCTTGGGAATGGGATGTCAGCCTGAAATCACTCACACTGCTTAGGACTAAGAAACGTGTTATTTTGCCACCATGTAGCTCTTAAGAAAACAGTATATTCTGGAGACAAATACAGACAAGTGTAACACTAATGTGCTTGATATTTGCCATTCACTGCTTTTACCAGTGTTGCTCTCAACTAGCGGGCTTGAGAGGCGGGATGATATCCAGGGCAATCCCCAGCTGGGGAAATCTGGTATCCAGTTCTTAAGGTAAACCTCTCCTCCCCCAAAGAGGACCTTAAGTTGGGGTAAAAACTTCCAATGCCATTTCTTTCTGAAGCAGCCTGTAATTTCCAGTTCTTCTCTCTCTCTCTCTTTGGAACATCAGCTAAGATCTGCTTTGGTAAGAGTCCTGTCTGACACAATTTTGGTGTCATGCACCTCGTCACGTAAAGAGGCCTTTGGGAATAACACTTCACACAAGGGTGACCCAGCCAAGTTTGCCACATGTTTGACTGCAAACAAACATATGGCAGAGATACGTCTTTTTCAAGGAGACGAGCACGAAGGGGGAAATTGAATCATCTTCGAGTTTACATACATACATTTTACACACATAAAGCTTTGGGACTTATTCATTGTATGTATGATTAGGAAGAAGTCAACTCACTGCTATCTCTGGAGAGATGAACCTGGGGCCGGCTGTAGATCAGTAAATCTCAGACCTGGCTTCCTTTATGTGGGAATCGTTTACCGACTGTTTATGATCTACAAGGTGCCAAAAATTTGTGATATCATACTCAATTGTACCCTCTGAAGAGGTGGAAATTAGATTGAGTGGCATGGTCCTGAGCATGTAATTTGTGAACTGGGAGCCTGAGATCCCCTTACAGACCCTGGAGAGCTAGAGCCCTGTCAACGCAACCAGCAGGACCTCCAGAGCTGCTCAGCAGAGCAAGGGTGTCTGCTTTACCCTGACTTGGACAGCCCTTGAAATTCTATGGACTTTACTGACTAGATCACCATGGCCTATAATGGGATCTCGAACACCTAGATTTTATCTGGCGCCGCCAAGAAGAGATTAAAATTTAGGTACGTTAATGTGCGAGCTGAAAGCCACTGCAGCTGTTGGTGTTACAATATACTTTAGTGACACTTCTGCTTTTCTTTACCATGCTTTACTGGGGCAACTTACTGCAAAACAAACCTAAGGAGGAGCTTGTAGCTGATGGTGAGAGCCAAAAATAAATGCAGGATATTGAAGGCAGGGACCCAGCATTTTGTTCTGATGACTCTGTTCCCACTGAAGGTGGTAGTAGGCGGATAAACCTCTCGTTACCTGCAGAAATTTCCATCTGCCTCTGGCAGGGTCAGAGAAGCCACAGGATTCTTCAGGAGGTCTGCCACAGTGTTATCCTTTGGCGTCACGTAGAAGAAAGGGATTCCGGTGCTGTTATTGACGGGACCGTCGCTGAGAAGTAAGCAGTTCCCATAGGGCATACCTTGGATCTGCAAAATGGAAATAAGCAACTGGTTACATCTTTGCACACAGAGGGTTTACAATGTCGGGGATTCCCTCAAGGGCACTAGCAGAGAGGACAGTAACCCCCAACTGCTCAGTCTCCCACTTTCAGTTGTCATCGTGAGACAGACCTTCTTCTAAATTAGATCTATCATTCTTCTACGAAAACAGATCTCTCCTCTATTTCTTCTTTCCAGTCCTGGCCATGACACTATAGAGAATATTTTCTCTTCCACTGAGCTTAAATGAACTACCAAATTAAAAATGTTTAAGTGCATTAAAATCAATGCTATCAATGCCGTCAGAGGGACAGCAAGGAGCCAAGTTTCAAAAAGTTTTCTCCCATACACTGACCTGTGTACACACAGTGGATGCAACGCATGCAAATATGTCCTTGCCCAGTGGTGACACACATTAATGTTCTCCATAACGATTTACACTCCTACTATGCTTTTCATCCCATTATAAATCACAATGACAGATACTTAATGAATTACTGTTTTTTCATGTCTTCAGATCTTTCTTTCCCCATGGTCAATTAGAAGTTAAATAGTAAAATTATCAGTCAATACATTAATCCAATGTAACTGGTAAATGCTTTCCAGCAAAATCAAATTAAGTATGAACAGTTAATAAGAAACCCTGGATGATGTTATTACCTGGATTGCATGCTTTCTGATTTTTAATGTTTATATGCCTTTAAAATTGTAATATAGTGCTTATAGTGCTTATAAATGGTCCTTGTTAACATTCCTTAGAAGGAATGCTTTAATGAAGCTACATAATGTAGAAGCTAAAAATACTTGTTTATTATTAAGAGTTACAGTGAAAAAAAAAATAGTAGCTGTCAGCAATATTGCAGGACACGTCTCCATTGCCTCAAATGCTCAGTCTGTCATGCATGGTTAACGTTACAGTGGATTCTCAAAAAGAACTGGGATCACAAGTAGCATAACTCAGCATTCGGAGCAGCGGCACCCCCCTCATCAATTCCAAATTTTATTATGAATCAGATTTTTCTGTATTACCTCTGCGTTGTAACTAGAGACAGCTAACTGCACACTATATTATGGCTGTAAGTCCACCGAGGGTTTCTGGCGAGAGCATAAACCAGAAGAGTTAAGATCATATGATTTAACAGGATTTCTGACAATCTGATGTAGAATTACAGGCCTCTTGTGCGTACATATATATTTATTTAATGGCATCTTTTTTTATCCTGTTACTTTGTGTTTCACAACAACGTAAACTGCTGCTAACTCAGCCAAGCTTTCTGAAGATGAATGTGCTTCCAACTTTGTCTGTTTTTTAAATTGTAAGTTAATTAATCTGAAAATATTTTCCAGAGAAAGTTAAAGCTGTCTTTTTTTTTTCTTTTGTCCGGGTGGTATTGAATGCTGTGTCTCATTCCAACCTTTCATTATAAAAAGTCAAATATTTTAAAGCTGGAAAAAAAAAAAACCAAAACCAATGACCCCCATTCTCCAGCGCAGCCCAGCTATTTTACTTAATGCCTCTGACAGAGAAACCATCCCGGAGGCTGGCACAGCTGGCCCACGGCGGGACGGACAGATTTCGTGGTAGCCCAGCAGGCTCTTCTTCCTCCTCCTCCTCCTCCTCCTCCTCCTCCTCTTCTCTCCCCCGCTCGCCGGGTGACAGCCAGAGCCCAGGGGAGGCAGAGGGGGCTCGGCCCGACCCGAGGGTGCCGCAAGGGAGGGAAATCCCTCTCCTCTCCGCACCCGACCTCGTCGCTCTGGTTCCGGCTTAAAGATTTTACTTTTCCCCTTCCTCTCCGGCGCGGTTTTGCCAGCGGTCCCCCCCTCCGCCCCCCCAGCACCCCGAACGGGATTTCCCCTCCCCGGAGGGGTTCGTACTGGTTCCTCCACACACACCCCACACACGCCCCGTACCTTTCCGTGCGCGGCCCGCGTAGCCACGAAGCCCCAGGTGTTGTAGCGGGCGAGGAAGCGGGCGGTCCCGGCTCGGCCCGGCGCCCCGCCGCCCTCCCGTCGGTAGGAGAACATCCTGGAAGGGGCAGCCCCCTGCCCCGACCGCCTCCCCCCCGCCGGCCCGGAGCCCAGGGCCGAGTCCTCCCGGTAAGCCGAGGCCGGGTAGCTTTGCTTCCAGAGGCCTCCCGCCTCTTCCAGCAGCGCGGGCAGCGCTTCCTCGGTGGAAGAGCTGTGGAGCTCATCCTCCGCCGCCGCCTCCTCCCCCTCGGGCAGCGGCCAGGACACCGAGCTGACCACCACGTACCCCCCCGCGCCTCCCCACAGCAACGCCGCCAGCCACCACCACAGCGCCGGCCGCCGCCCCGCCGACATCTTC